AGTGTCGACGTGCGCAGTTTCTCCACAATATTTTTGTATTTTTACGAAAAGTTCTTTGTTGAGCACGAAAACTCTACCCAGGATCGGATTCTGTAGACATTTCTGAAGAAGAAACGACCCGATAGAAGTGTTAGAACGATGTACATTTTGAGTAGGTCGAGAAAATGTTTGTCGGCAACATATACACGATGTTTTGCCGCCATGTACTTCGCTGCTCGCTTCTCTCTGTCCGACAGGGCCGAAGCTATGGGTAATCAACACCGACGGAGGGATCCAATGGGGCACCCACTCAGCGTGTGGGGCGTGCCATTTTTCTTAGTACTTCAATGTGCTGTCTTCTTTTACATATTTTTATGGATAATAATCACCAAACTGTGAATCATATATTAAAAATGGAAAAATAATAAAAGAAAAATAATGAACAAAAAATATTCATTTTATTCTGAATTTGTTCGAATTACAAGTATATCATGTATACAGTTATCATTTAAATTATAACGATAATACGATCATGAATAAATAATCATTTTCAAAATGTTAAACTTCTTGAGACGTATCGTTAAATATATATTTAAATATTTATTTAATTATAAGGCGTAGAAGTCAAAATTATACTAGTGTTAGAATACCTTCGTTACCAACTCCAAATAATCTGGTGTGATTTTTTGTGTGAAATATATCACAGTTTGGTGATTATTATCCACAGAAATATGTAAAAAAAAACAGAACATTAAAGTACTAAAAAAAATTCAAATATTATTTACGAAAAGTGGGTGCCCCATTGGATCCCTCCATCGGTGTTGATTACCCATAGCTTCGGCCCTGTCGGACAGAGAGAAGCGAGCAGCGAAGCTCATGGCGGCGAAACGTCGTGTACGTGTTGCCATCGAACATTTTCTCGGTCTAATCGAAATGTATATCGTTCCGACACTTTTACCGGGCCGTTTCTTCTTCAGAAATGTCTACAGAATCCGATCCTGGGTAGAGTTTTCGTGCTGACAAAAAACAAAACAAAAAACTTTTCATAAAAATACAAAAATATTGCGCAGAAACTGCTCACGTCAACACTTTTTTAAACTTTGACATGAATTTATTGCTATTTAGGACGAAAAACAATTAATAAATTGCATGCCACTATATTCGAGAAACTCTCCTCTATCTTTTAACACCAATTAGTACTTTTTAACGTTTGTACTTTTCATGCAATACCTAATTTTTGTCGAAAATTTTGTGTTTTTACAAAAGTTCGTTTATTTAAAAAACTGAGGGTGATGGAGCAATTCGGTCTTCGGATTCTTGTTCGGGGAGTGAAGCTCTACAAGAATTTCATAGTGACTTTAGGAACCCAAAAATCGTGTCGGACAGTGTTATCTAGCTATACAGGATTGTCTCGTATTTTTGCGTAGACACTTCGGGAATGAGTTCTGAAAGGAAAATAAGACTAAAATGTTAGGTAACAAAACGTCCGTAAATGCTTTGTTGAGAAATTATGACAAAAATGATGTATTCTTTACCGCTAAACAGTAACGCACACAAAATACAATATAAAGAGACAGTAAAGAAAGATACAATAATAAGTAAGCCATATTCGTTATAATTCCGTATCGTTATCCGTATCGTGAATAGTGATCGAGTATACAGGGTGTCCCAAAAATGTCTCGCAATCCGAAAGTGGCGGATTCCTCAGGTCATTTGAAGCAACTTTTTCCTTTACAAAAATTTTCTCCGAGGCACCATTAACGAGTTATTAACGAAAAACAGTGACCAATGAAAAACGAGCTCAGCTGGCGTGAGGCGTCACTGTTTTTCGTTAATAACTCGTTAACGGTGCCTCGGAGAAAATTTTTATAAAGGAAGAAACTGCTTCAAATGATCCGAGGAACCCGCCATTTCCGGATTGCGAGACATTTTTGGGACACCCTGTATAGTGTTCTGCGTATCAACGTTCGTCGCGTTTCTGTGTCGTATCCTATGAGCTGGTCAACCGTTACAAACCTTCGTTCGAATTCGGTCGTTTCGTTTCGCTAGCGCGTAACGCCCGCTGATCGTCCTAGCAGCGTCACGCATGCTGCATGAAGTTAACGCACGGGAATCCGCATGCACCGATCGGTATTATGATTTCGGAAATCGATCCGAAATCGTAATGTGTTCGCGGATGCTTTAGTTGTCAACATTCGGCTCCTACAATAAGAAATGTGAAAGATATAACGCTAACGTACAAGAGACGAATTAATTACAACAATCAACATCGCCTGTGAAGTGATTCGACAAAATCACAAGCAACTGAAATCATCAATAAATGCTATAACTCGCCGATATCAAAACTGTGTCAACAAAAACGGGTGTCATTTTAAAATGGACAACTAAATATACAGTACATACATATAAATTATATTTTGTATTTTTCTCACAAATTCTTAACGAAGCATTTATGGACTTTTTGTTATGTAACATTTCATTAGCCTTATTTTTTATATGTAAAACACACTCCCAAAGTATGCATGGAAAAATGCGGGATACCCTCTATATTATAGTAAAAGTGGTGTAAGAGTTGAGGAAGAGCGAAAACATTAAATTTTTAAATTTTGCTCAAAGATTAAAAAAGCAGTCATTTGACCGCTCTGGTAGGTTTAGTGTTAAATGAAACAGGAATTTCAACGCTAGCTGTTCCATCACCTGTTAAATGACCAATCCGACAATTCTTATTTTACGAACTGAAATTAAAAGACAAATCCATCGGAAACCATTAAATAAATTTCTTCATCCAAAGACGTATTAATATAAAAATTAGAGAAAATCTGAATGATTTCGATATTGGAATTTTTATGAGACAGAATAGACTTTACCGCCCGATACAGTTAGCGTTAATATCGTAATACAATGAGATATATTCTGACCGCAACAAATTCGGAACAATGTAAAGTAGAATAGTTTATCCTAATTGTAGAACTCTCTTTTTCTAGGAAACGACACTTTTGAATTTTTGTTCAGAGGAAAATTTTAATGTTCGAATTGAAACTTAAATCTAAAATTATGCGTGGTAGTTCATCAAATCTGTTTATTTCTTACATGCATATAGTGACATAACATGTTGTTATGTCACTAAAGCAACGATAAGAAAATTTACCTCTGCAAAAGTCTGTGAAAGTGACCGCTTTAGAAGTTACACTGTACCTTGAATATTGTTAGTTATTTTCAGTAAAAAAATTATACGTCCTAATGGCTGAATGATCGTTTAACAACTTAGCTGATAAAAGAAATTGTTGTAAATATTACACGTATAGAAACGATCATTTAATTCGTTAGCAGAAGTGAAAGAGTCCAAAATATAGTCGGCCAGTGCAGCAGGGTAGTAGAATAAGTCAATGCATTATCAGACTTGCTTCGTATACATAGTAAATCAAAAATTCTTGCTAGTGTATTTAACAAAAGTACACATTCATATCCACTTTCTTTATTTTCATTATCTACGTTTCCGATTTGTTATTTATTTATTAATTTCTTTGTTGTAGATGAATTACTTTTTGTACAAATAGCAAGATAAAACGCAAAAATAGAAAAAGTTGACAAATAAAAAATATTATTAATAGCTTAGTTCTAGGTTTATAATTATATAAACTATTCGAATGAGTGTAAACGTTTCAACCGCATACTTGTTAATTTTTTTACCGTTCTTTTCAATTTATTCTATGTCGAAAAATTAAAAGTTGTTACGCTCTCAGAAAGCAATCCAAAAAGCTACTTTGTTTTCTTCTAATGATTTATATTTTAAAAAACTATAAAAATCATTTTGTTACTAAATGCCTTTTTGTTATTAGATAGTATGTTGTAACAATAGTATAATTTTATGGCACAACCTTACCTGATTAATTTATCCTCGTATTTGATCTCGCACAGGACGTTGTTCTATTAAATAGGCTGTAGTGGAAAAATGTATCATTGACATTGTTTCTACCGGTGCATACGATTACTCGGGAATTTTTTCAATTTGACAAATCGCTGAATGTGTATGCTGCGGCATTCCTAATAATGCGATTTTCGATACACAGACAGGAGCTTGGTCAAACTGAGAAGCCAGTTCGCAACAGTTTGTTAATTATCGCCAATTAATTTAACCGTATTGGTGCTTATACGTCTGCCGTTCCATTGTAACGTGCGGATGAGATAATGTCGCATTTCCTGCGAATGTCATTCGTTATTGACAATTCGGCCAGAACGCTGCAAATATAGACGAAGCAGCTTTTCGAACGTCAGTCATCATCCTTTGAATTCATTTAGCGAAAATGCTGGAGCATGTTGGACTAAATATAAAATTTACGTTTCTTCCATTAATTAAACAAAACATTTTTTTTTAATTATTACCGAAAATAAAGTAGAAATTATTTTTCATTTGGTAACACGACGATTTTGAATATGTGTATGAGTGTGAGTGTGAGTAAAATATAAGTAAATACGATAAACATGATCACAAATAATAGAATGTTGAATGTGATTTAACAAAATTTAACTTTTAAGATTTATAAATGATATTACATGAAAATCGTTGTTTTCAAAATGCAAATGTATCGGTTAGTTGGACGTAAAATAATTTTTTTATATGCAATAGTATATTTATTTAATCATAGATAAAATAGAACATTCGAACAAATTGAGAAACAAACATCAAAATTGTGAAACTGTGTTGTGTTAGTTGTAACATTTAATTTTGTATTATACCGTCGTGTATCTGTAGTTTTCTAGTCGGTCACGCATCTGGACGTGTATTGGTGCGGCCCGTAATAGGTTCTCGAGCTGTAAAGTAAAATTAACTTGATAATACAAAGTGAAACTCGCGTTTTTACTGGGAAATTCGTAAATTAATTATAATTAATAGCTGGAATCACATTGTAAAAAGAATGTTGAATTATAAAATTAAATTAAATAAACTGAAAGCAGAAATCATTTCATTTCCCTGTGAACACTTTCAAATTATTTGACAATGACAAAACATTTCAATAATATTGAGTTTTTTGAAGCTGTGACTTTATTAATACTTGGCAATTAACAAACATACAATTCGTAGACAGTTTTTCACTCTGAGAAGAAGAACCAAACTTAAATTCGACGGAGACAATTTGTCGTCGGGATGGTTCTAATTACATGTATCTACAGTTTCGTAACTTTAAACGTCTTTGGCTGTCTGGAATGTTGCTACACCTTATTATCGTTATTCACACATTAAAGTACTACTTCGCATAAATAGTATAACACACTTATTTCGTAGGCGTATAAATTACAAATGTGTTTAACACAACTAGGAACTCGGATCGGAAACGTTTACGATCGGTTACGGTGATTAGAATTAATCTACTTTTGATTATCGGCAAGGGAAGTGTTATTGTAATTTTTCCATCGTTCGGATACTAACTATATGTTACGCAGTCGATAGCGAAGGCACAGTAAGCGTATTGCAACGGGTCGCAGTGGAACGCGCCACAAACGTCCCTGATTCTGTTATAATTCGGTTAATCATAAATTAAAACTTTAACAATACATGATAAATTCGCAAAGGCCCAAGTTGATTAATCTTAATTTTACTGAAAGCGATACAAAAATTTGGCTAAATAACCGGCTGAGAGACAAGAAGAACGTGGAATCAGTTTCTCATTGAATTCCACGTCGACGACCTCGAAATTCATCTTGGCGAGACACGACACTCCGAATCCTCACGTTTCGCCCCAGTGATTCACACTGTTCTCTATGCACTTGTAATATTCACCGGGCTACGACTAACCTAATTTACGATCGCGTTTGGAATGTATTTGCTAGACCGTGGAATCGATTCAACCGTTGTTTGTCATTATTTCGGAACATCACTAATAATGCTGGCGCGCGTTTCTGATGGTGTACTTCACTGGCACTTTTCAAACCACATTACGTTGACATAAATTAGTTTCGATTCTTAAACTAAAATAAAAAACTCACTCAAAACTGCAATTTTTCGAAACGTATAAACTTAGAATTTTCAATTCCTTGGTTACTTGAAGATCGTGTGCAAATGGATTCTTTTTGGTATTTAAATCATCCAATTACGTTAAACCATTTGAAATTTATTCTTCGGTAGCGTCCGAGTTCTCAAACAATATCAATTCTATATTTTGCTTCCATTGAGCGCTAGCAAATGAGTCTTCGAACTCTTTTAAATCTCGCCAAACCAAGCGCTTAATCTTGTATTTATTCTATACTAAATCTTGAACTAATGTCTAGTCCACGTAAAAAATACAATTATGCAACGTTACTTCCATTATTCGCTAGTAATCGAATCTTCGAATCCATTTAAACCAAGCATCTAATCTATCCTTCACTGGTGTCTAAATGTTAAATCCATGTTTTGAGCCACGTAAGATGAATCACATGTTCTTGATTCTTCACTAGTCTTCAAACCACGCCAAACCAGTTGGTAACCTTGCTCTCATTCTTCAATATTACTTTAGTTCTACAAACTATCTTCACCCTAAGGGAGCACCATATCAAAACTCTCTGTACGGATAACCGAGTATTCAAACTACGTCTTACTCCGTCGGACTCCTACGGCTCTTACTCCTTCAAACAGAGAGAGAGAGAGAGTGTCCCTGCTTAAATCCTTGATAAAATCCAATGAGATCTTCTACCATCAAAGTTTCCAAACCGTTTACACAAGCTGATTCGTCGCTCCACTTTTATCTTCGACTCGAACCGAACGTCGTCCCAGAAGATCCGGAATCCCAGCAGCTCCTCCAAATAATTTAGACCCTTTAAATCCTTCATTCGTTCCTCGTCCCGAAGCTCCGGCAAAAAAGGGCTTCCTCCTAGGTCGTGGAGCCCGCATCAACCGCTTCCGAGTCCGTTTCTTTTACTCGCTGTCGGAGAAGCCGGCGTTCTCTTGGAGTTTGTCGGTGTCCTTGTTAGCGTCCCCGTTGCTGGAGCTGGAGATCTTGCTGTAACCGTAGATCTGCGAGTTGTTCCTCTTACGGAAGTACCAGTTCGCGGCTATGTAGACCGGCGGCACGATCAAGAGCACTGCCAGGTTGATGGCGAAGAGGATCGACATCCTGTAGAACCAGATGGTCGACTGCATCGTCCAGGCCAGGTCCTTCAGGACGCATTGGGAGTCCGGGAAGTTCAACAGCTCGGAGTCCGCATAGCAATCGGTGCACTCGGTGTCCGACGGTCCTGAACAGGTCAGACAGCTGTAGTGACAAGGTGCACAGGTTGATCTTGTCTCGTCCTGGACACCGTAGGTCTTGGCCGGACACTTGCTCAAACAATGGCCGTCGCGCAGGTACCATAACCGGTTACACTCTGAAAAATTATATATATTTTTGATGGTCCTCCGATTGCGACACCTCGGCAGGCTTTTCTGGCGTGTGTCGCTGTTTGTGTGTGCTGTTGTGGGGATCGTGTGTCTTCTGACTCGTGTGTGTCTTGGTTGGATGACATCGGCAGAACTAGTCTCCTTGGACGGATTTCATTGCGTTTCCTTGCTCGATTTTAAGTTTTTCTTAAGAATTTATTTCCTTTTGTGTTCTGCTTCGAAACTGTGCTACTGATGTGGGTATATAGAAAAATGTTTCTGATCGAAATATTCACATATACTGATTTCTGTATTATGTCGACAATATGAGAAATATTGCTGTAGATTTTTAATCATCAGTATTTTATATAGACTTGTTCGTCCTGCTTTATGTTATGTAAGGTGGAACACATTCACTGTTGAATAAAACTCTAGGAACTCACGAATACATAATAATGCATCGATGTACCGTGGAACGTACACTTGCATTCATTGTACAATTTTTCAAACCGATTCTCTCACGTATCGTTAAATTAAATCTTCATTATGAAAACTTTTACACAATTAATTACGCATCGTTACGAAAAACGAGAAGCCATTATACGGGAATAATAGCTTTATTATTTCGTTAATTAGTATATTCCTTACTAGTTATTTTTTCTAATAATTTCAAAAAATCAGTATGATTTTCTAACGATTTAAACAAATCAGAAACATTTTCTAGTGCCCACTTCTCTAAATGCGAACTCAATTAGACTGTTGTGTAGATCTGTGTGCCTCGAATTTGTCGACACAGTAAGCGTAAGAGAAATTTATCACGCTGCACACGAGCAGCTGTCGTAGCAGTGATTAGCAAAATCTGTGAAATTGTGTCGTTCCACGTAAGTATTCAATAATTACACGTTTCTCGAATGGCGCGCAAAGTTTGCAGATTGTCCCATGATACAGCAAGCTGGATATTCAAGCAATATCCGTGTCGAGATCAAGTTTGGAACGCTCCTCAAACACGAGGTATGTTTAGATCACCTTTATGCAGTTAATGCAAATGATGGTAAACCTATGCTGAACACGGAACAATCGAGGATCCCGAATTACGGTTCGAATTAATGGCCATAGAAGACGGGAACGAGTAATTACTTGCAACTACAATTTCCAGCATTGTTTCAGTTTGAATCAAACATCAACGGAGACTTGTAAAATATTAAATTATTTAGACCGTTGATTTTATGCATTTTCGACACACTTCAGCGCGGAAAAGACAATGAAATACGGTCCAATCGACTGGCAAATGCATTTTTCAATAAATTGTTAAAATCAATTTCTTAAGTGGGTTTAACGCCCGTAGCAAATTTGAAAAACAATGTCATCCATACTAAATTGTTTAGACTGCTGATTTTTTGCACTTATTGCACATCTTTTGCTTGATAAATTGTTGAACAAAATTTTTCTACAATTTCGATTTCGTTTTTGTAAAAATTCTTCGACAAACAAAGATTTGCATAAATATGCGCAGTATAATTTGCATGTTTGTTTCTTCGTGTTGTTTTGTGTATATGTGTGTTGTCTTGAAAACAATGGATTTTAAACGTAGCATACATAAAAAAACATAGTAATGTGTTACAAGATAAATACTGCTTAAAACTAATTTACATATACGCGTAAACAACACATAGAACTTAAGAATAAATAAATATAAATAAAAATATGTTCGCGGGAATTAGGCCTTGGTGAATTGCACTGATTCAATTATTTCTTGTGATAGGCCGATGGACAATCGGGAGAGTGTCTCGAGTTTTGATTCGCCCAGCCCTAATACACATCGGTCGCTTATTTGGAAGTAAACATAGAGACTTCATTTTGCGTTATTTTATAAAAAAAAACACAGAAAATATTAAGCGAGCAAGAACCAACTATGTAGGGTCAACCTTGCTGGCTACTATTTACAACCACTATGACACAACGACTGCGACTACTGAGCATGCTGGATTTTACAGGATGTATAAAAATGATATGCCGCGACAACCATAGCGTGATTATACACCTATGGATCGGTAGAGATCTGCTAAAAATATGATCTTGACCTTGAAAATCAAGGTCAGAAGGTCAAATATTTTTATTGCAACGTATAGTACTCGTTAAAAGGAACAAAAGCCTTGAAGAAGCTATTGGTGTCAAGTCAACCCTTTACATAAGAAACAATATTAAAAGTGACTACGCTACTTGATTCCTGGTTTATAGTATTATTATTTCAACCTAATTTACATTGAAAATGTAAAGCCACGAATAAAAAAATATTTTTCCTTTTCTCACACTTATTTTTGCACGTAAAATCACTAACCAGTCAGTTGTACCACAATTTATGAGTGTAGTGGTCGTGACAAGTGTAGTCAGGAAAAACAACTACGCAAGGCGACGCATGCGTAGGGAGTCCTGCACAGTGGCGTGGGGCGTAAACATTGTAATTCTGAACTACGATCAAACAGATGCTCTGCGTCGCGTAGTCATCGTAGTTCAGAATTACACATTTTCTCTCGGTAGACGTCCCACGCCGCTGTGCGAGACTCTGCACATGCGTCGCCCTCACCTATACCAATTCTACTTCTTATGACACTAGAAGCCACGCGAACTTGACGCATCTACAAACTCAGTTTTCTTGAAAACAAAGTCTTAAATGAGAAAAATGTTACTCTGTTTTCGACTTACTTTTGCATATAAAATCACTAACTGGCCAGTAGTACCACGATTTTTGGGTGTGACGATCGTGACATATAATTTTTATATCTTTTTTAATATCGTTTCTTATGTAAAGGATTAATTTGGGACTTTTTCTTCTCAGATGTTTGTTCCTTTCGATGAGTACTATACGTTGCAATACAAACATTTGACCCTCTGACAATTTTGTGGTTCATTCTTTTAACAAATCTACACCGACCCAGAGCTGTAGAATCACGCTACGGTGGTCGTGACATATAATTTGTACACACCCTGTACGTAGATTCATTATGATGCTTGATGGAACTGAATGCGTGTTGAGAAATGAAAATTTACGTGCTTATATATCGGCAAATATTCGAATTAATTATCCGGGCGTACGAATTTGCTGAACAAGCGGCGTTTAATAATTTTATTCAAATAAAAATCACTCAAAGTATTTTCGAGATTCATTTAAAATACATACACAAATGATTTGAATTAGTAGTATTTGCTAACATTCAGATGCAGTCAATTTATTTTACACATACATGTTCTATCCAGACATACTTCGAAAGGAATTCTCTGTTTGATAGAGATAAATTTTAGATCTGCAAACAGCGTGCTTCGATTAAAACAATTAACAACTTCGTATGACATGTATGCTGTTAATTAAGCGTAATACATGAAGCAAGTATCGAAGCTTACAGCAACAAATAAGCGGTAATGTTAACGATAATATAGCAACCGGTTAAGCGTAGAGAATACATATTAAGCCGGAGTAATCTGAATCCAAGCAGGCATTATGTACACTTAACAATCGATACTCCGAAGAATCAAATACTTTTACATGGCCAAAAAGAATTTTCTGTGATGATGAATATTCGTTTGTCAATTGCTGCATAATTATACTTTACTGATTTACAGTTCATTTAATTTACATTTTTAAATAGAGTTTCTCTCTTCGACAAGAAACATTGATTTCGAAATCAGTTTTATGACATGAATAATTCTGAATAATTCTCAATAGATAAAATACCGATACTGGCTATATAACTATTTCAAGCGATCTTTACGATACAGAACATAAACCTTACAAATAAAATATACACAAATAAAAGACTGCAAGAGACGTTATCAAATATTTTCAATCATATAATACTTTCCGTTTCAGAAGAATTGATTTCAAATATTCATCTCACATCGATGCCGTCAAACGTAATACGACCATAATCTGCTATTTCTATTTCACGCAGACAAAGTACTCGCTTCCTCCCATCCCAAAACAAGCCGAAAGCGTTCGACACTGTAAAAAAACAAGTTAGACATAAATATCGACGCTACACTCTCTACTAAAAGTTAGTGTTTATAGCATACTGCCGACTACGATTCAAACAGCTCGACCCGAAAGCAACGTTCAGCGAGAGGATAGAGAACGTAGGAGCATTACAGAACGATAGAGAAGTAAGACTCACCGTGCTGGTGAAGCGATCAGGGAAAGGTCTTTGATTGTTTTATTGATTGGTTGTACGTGTGTGGTTGTGGTTGTGGATGTGGATGTGGTTGGTGATGGTAGATTGGTGATGGTGGTGGTTGACTGGTCTGAGAAAATCCGCACCGCAACTCGCCCACGAAGAGGCCCAAGTACCTAAACACGTTTTCAGAACCTGCTATGGAGTAGAGGGATGAAGCGACACGTGACACTCCAGATGCACCGAGTAATCTTTCTTTCTTTCTTTCTTTCTTTCTTTCTTTCTTTCTCTCTTTCTTTCTCGCCAAGCGTCCCCGCCGCCGCGCCGCGGGCAATTCAATTTTGATCTTCTGGATAAACGGCGCCCGATGATCTTTCTTTTGTTTTCACTTTCGTTCTCTTTTTTTATTCTCCCTCCGCAGCCGGTCTCTCTTTCACAGAGGAAACTCGATTTGTCGCGTCGGAAATTGCTGTGGATTTCTTTGTTTTATTATTCCCCCTTTTCCATTTTGTTTTGGTTTCGACTTATTTTTGCGCACGTGACAGAGGGACTCTTCCGTCGATGGCCTCTGTGTTCCCCGTCGGTTTTATCGATTTTATTAAGCATCCCGGCAAACAGTCGAATAAACCCTCGGCTGTTCAGTGACTCGCAGATTCGGTTGAACGGGATCCACCCGACACGCTTCGAGTGGAAAGTGTGGATCAACAGCGAATAATGCCGCGTAAAGAGTCGATGGGAATGAATTTACCGCGTTGCCGATCTTTCGTTCGCGAATTTGGGTCGAGCACCTGCGAAACAGCATGTGTACTTTTCACCCTAAGCGCTGCAGGAATTCCCGTTGATTG